AAAGGTCTGTCTTTAGTTGGCGAACATCTAAATGATCAAGGAAAGACATCAGAGGCAAGTGCTATGATCAGTCGAGACCAAAGCTTTCTATGGATTCAGCTTTGCATTGTTGACTGGCCATGAAACCTTTTTGCTTAGTCTGAGCTATGCAGATGTTTTCCAGAGTGATACTGACACAAAGCCTACAATCAATGTCACATTAAGATTATGTAGAGCACTAACCAGTCTGTTGACCTAACTCCTTTAAAACACTGAGAAGAGAGTGAAAACTATGACTTGCAGCCAGATACCCCAAAAATGTAGTTTCTCTGAAAAAAAGAGGACCAGAGGTCTGGATGTGTGGTAGGTATTTTATTTCCTTAGATGAAAGAAAACATTTTTCTGTACATTAGGTAACCAAACCCTATCAAAGTGGATCATAACAAGGCATTTTCTGTTGCTGTCACGCCGTGTTGTATTTTAGAAAACAAGCACGTAAGGCAACACGTTGCTCTGTCTGAAGTAGCTCTGCTGGTCAGCTTGACCTCAACATGATTCAGAAATTCTGTTCTCCAAAAAGGCCTGCGAAACAAAACGACTCCACCAGCAGGGGGCATTACAGACCAGCTGCTAATTTCCGTTTAACATCACTGCATTGCACCCAGTCAACTCTTATGACTCAACCAACTAACTAAAAGCAAAACCTATTTGTGGCAATTATTTCTTTGACGAACCGCATTCCAACAGCCACTAGAGCCGCAAGTGATGCTTTACGATTATGAGTTTGGTTTCTTCTTTTATTAAAGATCTTCTTTTAATTCTCAAGTTAACTTTTGTCTCGTCTGTAACAGTTGAGTTATATTTTACTCTTTTTGAAAATGTTCATCTCTTGGAACAGTTATTGTAATTGTAACCAGTTGGGCGAGACTCTCAGGAACATCACTGAGATGCTTAATTAGAAAGTGGATTTCAGGTAACAGCAACACTAAAAGCAATGCATTGTGGGCTTTTGAGAGTCTGGAATTGGCCTGGTTGGTGTGAACACAACAGCTCGTGACTTCTTCTGGTGAATGATCTGAGACGATGAAGGATATTTTTCAGTTTGCGGAGGAACTTCTTCCTACCAGAAGCGAGCAGAAAGCAGTGGCTGAAAAGGAAAGTGGGGGAAAAAAAAAGAGTCCATCTATTGCCAGACTCTGGAACATGGAACGCGGCCCCTTCCGCCGGCATTCTGGCACCCTCGCTAAGCCGTAGAGTGTCAGTAAACCCCGCTCGTACTGTATGTCGCAGGCCTTGAACACACGCTGTGGGCCGGTAATTAGTGCGTCGATGAGTCACTCATTCATCTGGGCAGCTTTTCAACGAGATTTCTCCATCTAGAGCAATTTAAACAATTTCAAAGCTTTCGGAAAAGACAGTTGTAGAGTATATCCACACAGCATAGCCCCGCACCTTTATGTGCAAACTAGCAGGTTGCTATAAATAAAACCGGAGACCTCCGTGCAGCTGAACAGGCAGAAAGCGAAGCTTGGTTTTGCAGCAGAGTCATCCATCCCTTTCCTGTAATAAGCACCTGAAACAAAAGAGTCGCCCAAAAGGTAAAAAAAAAATATATAGCTGTGGAACAAAGTTTTCTTGAAATTTCTGCTTTGAACCCAACTTTTAAAAATCAAACTGGAGCTAAAATAGTTGAATAAGGGTTTAGTGTATTGGCCCGTTGTGGAGCTTTCTCTCTGTGTCACTATGTATAATCTCCCTCAGGGTTTTGGACAGAAATAAAGCCAACTGATCAAAAACACGACTGCATCTCATTCATTGGTAACCATAACTTCTGTGAGCCTGCATTCAAATCTATATTCAGCGTTTCACTTGCATGTAAAACTCGAAAGCTCGCCTGAATAAAACAGTGCAGGTTTGCTTTGATATTCTTAGCCTTAATATTGTATGCTGAGCTCCTTCTAGCTCCTATGGTAACCTGAAGCTGTTTTCTTCGTCATGTTGTACTGACTCTGTCATTAAGCTTCAAATGGATGAGGGCAAACTGTGTCCGAAAAACCACAGGTTGATGTTTTCAGAGCACATTTAGTCTAGCATTAAACCTGTTGCAATCAATCAACAAATCACATAAATGAAATTAGCTTGATGATTTCAATTCTGATTATTTTTTTTAAGGGAAATTTTGTTTACAGAGAAATTCTGATTCATTTTATTTCTTGTTTTTGGTTTCTTTTGATTTTTAAATGTTTCAGATTTCATCTGGTTTCAGTGTGGCGTTAATTGGTCTCTTTACGCCAGTATCAATACGTTACATGAAGTGTCCACAAAACAACAATAATGTCGCTTATTGGAATAATTACTGGGACAGTTTATTGTTGGAAACTCCTCCTTCAACATCAGAATGTCGGCTCTTTGCATACAGATATGCACGAGTAAAATATACATTTCCATTTTTACAAAAGGGCTGATCACGGATAAGAAAAGATTTATCACTTTTTGGTGTTTTTGTTTTTACGTGTGGGTGGTTGTTGTGTTTTGTTTTTGTTTTGTTGAAGAGCTGTTTGGCGGCGTAGGTATAGACGAGTTAAAGCACTTCTCAAACAGCACCACAGATTGGAACAAACAAAGAGAAAGTGTTTTGTCGGCAAATGTAAAAGCTGACAAGATGAACAAAATACTTAGATGTGAAGTGGAAGACCAGATTATATAAGCACAAGTACAACAACACTGAGACGGTGCTTTAGGCAGTGATTTAATAGTTTCCCTGCCCACTATAACACCCCTCAGTAGTTTTTGTTCACGGCTGGGTTATCGCACAATAAACACAGCTAATCTCTGTGTCTTTTCTAACATGCTGAAGGACGTCAGGCTGTGCCCTCGGCAGCTCACGGGGGGTTAAGTGACAGTTTGCTAATGTCTGCAAACTCGGGTCTCCTTCAGTGTTTTGGTGAAAGCGGCATCACACGAGTCTCCTTCTTCAGGGGTGGAGCAGATTCTGTCCTAGAATATTATTAAATATTGTCCTAGCTAATATCAAATTCATTTCCATCGACCACGTGATTGCTCAATCTGACATTGAGAAAATAAGTTTGCTGAATAGAAACGCGGCAATTTCACCGTATTGAAATGGGTTTATTTTGCAAAATTGCAAGGATAACACTTTATCACATCACAAGAGTCGCATGATTTACAACTGGATGTTACTGGTGCAAACCACGAAGAAGAAAAAAAACAGGAAGTAGTTGAGGATGATGTTTTCTAATGACTTCTCGTGTGAACAAACTTATTCACATGTAATTTCAGTTTCATTTCTTATTTAATTGAAACACCACTCTTGAAAAATTGTGGTTTTTTTCTCACCATTAGCAGAATATTGAGAAGTATTCTGCACATTTGTAACGGAAAAAAAGCTATTTCTTTTCCATGCCTTGCAAAATTATTTCTACCCCTTCAGCTTTCTCAGTGTCCATCGTCAAACACGGATTGCAACCCGGACAGTTTCTTATTACATTGAGTTAATGCAGTTATGTAAAAACTCCCCTGAACTTTACAGTGACAACAGACTTTGTTGAACAGTGACGCTCCTAAGAATTGGGAACAGAGGGGCTATGGCCCCATCATAAAAAATTTAAGCCAATCCCTCGAATAATATTCATGTCAGAGAAAGGCGTCTATTTTTCTCTGACATGAAATGTAAAACCCAATAAATAAAGTAAATACAATATTTAATAAATTAAATTTTTTTTTTTTTTTTTTTTTGTTCTTTTGTGTAGCTGCGTGCTCCTTAAATTTTGCCTGGTGCGTCCACCCTAATGAAAATATTCTGGGGGCACCAGTGTGGCTAAATGCATATAAAATCAGAGAAAGTGAGCAGCTACCAAAGTCATAGCCGGGTTTGTCTTCCAAAGTGTTTACACCCCATTAAGTTTTCCACTTATTCTCTTGTTATGACAAAGTTAGACACACCTTAATGAAATATGAAACATAAAGTGTCAGGGGAAGGAAAATGATGCATGGTCTTCACATTTGTTTACAAATAAAACTCCGTGCCTTTGTATTCAAGTCCTAAATTAAGTCCCCGTGCAACCAATTTGCCTTCAAATGTCACCTAATTAGTGTGCAGCTTAATGCACAGTGAAGGCCGAAGAGCTCTGCATTGTTTAATCAATCTTCTGAAAATTATGACACATTTGCTGACCCTATCAACAATTGGTGATCCACATAAACTAGGCTTGTTGGATCAGGAGAGTGTTACTCAGAGACGAAGCCAAGAGGCCCACAGTAACTCTGGAGGAGCTACAGAGATCCACAGCTCAGGTGGGAAAGCCGAGCCTTTATGGAAAAAATGTCACAAAGGAAGGCATCACTTAAATAAATATTAATAGCTTCCATTTGCAGTTTGGTAGCAACCATAAGGGGTTTGAGTTATGTTGCAAATAACTAAACAAGAGGACAAACGTGGAAAATGTTCTGTGAGATCAAAGCTGGGAGATTGAGACCCCAAAATGTTTGTGGTTATAAATGCAGCAAAAAGGTGATCCTGTAAATTGTCTCAGGGCAGCTGAACACAAATTCAAGTCAGACCTTTTGAGTGAACGATACATCAAAATGCAAAAAAAAAAAAATGTAGAAGTAAAGGATGGTTTACCATGTCAATGCTTTTGAAAATTAATCATGATCAATAAACGTTTTAGCTGTTTTTGACCAAAATAAGTTTTTATACTACCATCACCTGAGACACAGTATCTGCAGTCGGGTTATCTCTGTTCCACGCACTGGGAGGCTACCAGCACCAATTGGCTGGACCTCTGTTGAGATTTCAATACTCGATTCAGAGTAATTAAACCACTTAATCATTTTGGCCTTATTTGAATTGACAAAGTGGTTCCTCAGATATGCAAAAATGATTATCTTTTTTCATTTAGCCACACAAAGCACCAGATTAAAGAAGCTGTGTTCAACCCAGTGACAATCTAAGGTCCATTACAAGTCAGTTATTGAGGGTGAAACCTTTCCCTCTCCAGGCTCTGACCACCGGCAGCATCCCGGGCTTCATCGACGTGGTAATGAACCTGAATTCCCCCGCCCTCCTGGAGGACAACCTCATCTGGCAGGCCAAGACGGCCGGCAAGCGCATCGTCTTCTACGGGGACGACACGTGGGTCCGCCTCTTCCCGAAGCACTTCATGGAGTACGACGGAACGACCTCGTTCTTCGTGTCCGACTACACCGAGGTGAGTGGGAGTTGAATCGGCCCCGGGTTTGTGCTGTAAACAGTCCGCGTCGTTGAGTGATGGATTTTTCTGCGAATGCTAGTGAAGGATTAAAGCCCCAGGTGCTTTTTGTGATATTGGAATGTGGAGGGGGAAAAAAAAAAACATTGATAAGGAATGATGAAAGAAATGAAATAAACCTGCTTTGCCATGTTAGCCAGAAGATTGATGTTCAGACACGCGCCTCGGAGTGAGTCACGTTTAACACGGCTTTCACAATGTGAACACTTTGAATGATCCACAAAGTTTATGGGGATTAAAAGACAGAAGAAGAAATCAAACTGGAAGCGTAATATTATGTGAAAATATCTCTCCTGCATTGCATTTTGCCTCATAGCAGAATAGACTCTATTATTTTTAAGGAAAAATTAGGTATTCAAAGTTGCAAAACTACACTATGATAATAATGTAGCTCCGATGCATTGAAAAAGTATGTGTAGGCTTTGATCTCCAGATGTGTAAAGGGGCCTGAATGAGAAATATGGAGCACAGATTGTTCACACTGACCCCTTGTGCACTTTTATAAGCCTGTTTTTTTTTTTTATTTGTGTGTGATTTCTGGAACTGACGGTCTGACAGGACACAAAATTAGCTTGATAATTTCCATCTTAATGTTTAATATTTTTTAAAGGCCAATTTTGTTTACAGAGACTTAATATTTCATTTCAGTCATTGTTTCGGTCATGTGTGGCTTTTATTTTCCATTTCATTTACTGCATTTGGTCGCTGTGTTTTTTTTATTTCAGCTTCAGCTTCATCAGATTTATATAACAGATTTAAACGAGCTCTGTGAGATGTCCAGTTGTTTTATCGTCTCGTTCTGCTTTAAACATCACCCTGACCTGTCGTTGTGTTCACGAACCTGTTTGTTCACTTAATGAGATTAAATTTTAACACACGTTGACTTTAGTTACTCGAGGCGATATATTTCACCTGATTTCATTTAGAAGTGCTGGATTAGAAGCGCATGAATGCGAATGTATGCCTGACGTTTCAGTGGCACATTTTTAACTATCGCGTTCAATTCCAATAAAGTGCATCGAGGTTTATGGCTGTAATGTGACAAAACGCAAATAAGGTGCATAAATCCTGGGGATTGCAAAGTTTCTGCATTAAAGTGGTGAAGGCAGCTAATCAAACAGGGACACGGAGAGCTGAGATCACTCAAGAAATGCTCAGCATCTGCACTGATGGGACCCAACAAGCTGTTACTGTTTATCCTGCAGGTTTGCTAGTTGTGGAGCACGTCACCACAAACACGGCTTGTGTTTGTAGCACAGATTAAGGCGATTAGGTTTCATTATTTAACATTTTCCCTTGCTAGATTTTGAAGCATGTCGCGTCTCCAGCCTCTGGAGAGAATGTTGAATGTCGTCTCTAAGTGGACGTGTCCCCGCTGCTGCGATTCAGGTGGACGACAACGTGACCCGCCACCTGGACAGCACCCTGAAGAGAGACGACTGGGACGTGCTGATCCTCCACTACCTGGGCCTGGACCACATCGGCCACGTCAACGGGCCCCACAGTTCGCTCCTCCAACTCAAGCTGCTGGAGATGGACGACATCCTGAAGATGATCCACGGTTCCCTCGTCTCCAAGGTGAGTCCGTTTCCTGCGAGCGTCGTGCGTTTGGACAGTTGATCCCTCCGGTTTTAGACGACGCCATTAACTCTTGGAGAGTTGCTACGTTGTGTAGCCATGGCAACAAGGTATTGTTTGTACAACTGGAAACTTTTGATTAGCGTTTCAAAATCTGAAAGAATGAACGAACTATGACCTCAGACCCAAGAGGACTTGAAAAGATGGCTTTAAAGAGGAGTGGCAAAAGCAAATGAGGCGGATTAGCAGTTCTTGCTAAAATCTGATGATGTCATCCAGGACATGCTACTGTAGAATATCGTCTTTGTTGCTCAGATGTTGATCCTTGCAACAAATCGCAATAAGCAATTAATCAGTTAATCAAATAATCACATGATCAATTAAAGTGAGCTTGATCATTTCCATTGTCATAATTACTTATTTTTTACAGATTTATTTACAGAGTCTCTGTAATCATTTATGATTTTAGCGTGTGTGGTATTTATTTTCATTTTTATTCATTGTTTTTGGTCTTTTTTTTTTAAGTTATTCAAAATATCTTTCAGTTTTGAAATGAAACTTGGTCTTCAGAAGGCGAACTTCTTATGTCATTATCGATGCACCACAACATGAAAATGGTGACAAAACAACAATATTATTGTTTATCAAAATGGCTTTCGGGACGATTTTTTTTTTTTTATTGTGACAGCATCACCGTCCACGACTGTTTGAATACACTTGGGTGATCTGAATTATTGCATTTAATTTCCCTTTGGGATACATAAAGTGTTTTATATTGAACTGAACCGTGTCAGAGATCAGACGTCGGGCCAGAACAAATATGTAGAATGGTTTATTTATCTGCTGCAGATAAATAACCTTAAAATATCTGAGAGAAAAACTTTCCGGTTCCCATTCAGCTTCATCGTTCTTTCAAAAATAACTATGTGAGGTCACAGAAGCGTTTCTCCATCTGTCCTTGAGGCAGTAAAATCTAAAAGGAATGCATTAAGTTGTTTATTTCTTATATCATTATAATATATAATTTTTTTAAATGTTTGAATGGAAGTTCAGCTGTTTTTCCCCTCCAACTTCAGTCACTGTTATTGAAATATTATTGCTTAGCGAAGCCTTCAAAATGTGCTAAAACAAAACGGTGATCAATAAGTAATAAGTAACCGATGCAATCTGTGACTATATAACACTGTCAGGTTTTGGCCGTTTACTTACTGAGGTCATTTGCGCGGCTGTCGGCAGTCGTTATGTTATCTGTCTCATCGGGCGCAGAGATTTAATAATCCGTTATCTTTCATCAGCTCTTGTTCTTTGTGTTTCCCCGCGGCGGCCGACTGCAGTACATGCATATTGACTCTGCGCTGTGCATGCGCTCCTAATGGGCATTGTCTCGTTGTCATTCAGATATACAGCTGCTACTTAAGTTGTCAAGTCATGTCTGCGTAAAGCGCCCAATTTTCCCCTCACCCTTTGCTTCTTTTTTTTTTTTTTTTTTCTTTTGAGGCAGGAAAAAAAAGGTGCAGGCCGTAAACACGTCAGGGTTTATTTTAGATTCGCTAATCCAGCATGTCACCACATCCCAAAAAGTTGCTAATTAAACATGTCTAGCTTCTCTCAGCTTTTGATGAGGCCTGCATGCTGTTTGTGTTTTTTTGGGGGGTTTTTCACTGAAATGTGTTTTACAACCTCATTTCAGTCCCGTTTGTGTGAATGTAAATGTAAACCCGCCCCTGTGGAGTCCTGCGGGTCGTCGCACAACGGCGGCAATGTTTTCTCTGGTCCCCTCTCGCTGCGATTGCATCGTGTGGGAGTGTTTCACGCGCCGCTGCAGATGCTGCGCGCGTCGTCTGCCGCCACATCCTGAAGGAGCTACGGCTCCCAGCTGCAAGGGGAGCGAGGGGGGGAAAAAAAATTGGGAGAGTCGGATTCAGATGACAGCCCCTCAACGCTCCGTTTGTAATGAGGTGCCAGTTGTCTCTTTTCCGTGCAGAGAAACGCTTCGGCTGCTGAGCAGAGAGATGCATCATGTTCTATTAAAAAACAAGATTGGGTATCGTGACCTTGCGGTCAAGAAGGCCTCGGTTGGACCTTTGTGTTAATGTTGAGCTCACGGCCTCAATCTTCTCTTCCTGAGATTTTGAGTTTGTAGGGTGACGGTTGCTGTTTGATGTGTAAAGTTTCTAAGACCTGCAGAAAAACAGAAACTGATTGAAGGTTCATGAGGTACAAAATAAATAAATAAATAAATGAATCGGATTAAAACAGAATAATAGTGGGATGATTTGGGTTTAGGGAATTTGTATGGGAGCAGTTTTTCCTATTGAAACTTAAGGAAATTAAAATTTAGCCCTCACACACACACACACACACACACACACACACGCAGTCACAGCAGTTTATATTGAACCCATTAGCAGGGCCGGATTCAGAAAGATGTGCTCCCCTGGGCTGGTGCTGGTTTTGGTCCATAGCTAGTCCTCCACATCAGCAGGTATAAATTGATGTATGGTAGTTTACTACTTATTTTGTTCCTAAAAAAATTAACTGCCACGAGTAGAGCAGAGTAGCAGTAGGACACCCACCTCTCCAATGAGTTTGACAAATGAGGGAAAAGCAAACAGTTTGTTTTTTGGAAAGAGAAATATCTCCGGTGATAACTTCAGAAAAGATGGCACATGCTGCCTGCGTCCCATGGCGTTTTGCACTTGGCCCGTCACCTACCAGATACATTTTTGGCAGGTTAGAAGAGCTGGAAGAACTTCGGCACTATTTCATCTCTTGTAGTCGGGAAGGAATCAGTCCACAGGCGATGTCATCAAAAAAATTTTAGGGGCTCTTGTGCATCAACGTTTTCCACTTTTTTCCAAGATTGCATCAACACCCCTTTGATTGTTGTGAAAGATGGCACCTTTAGACCATTCTATGCTCAAGTTCTAGTACAAACAACACAGGAGATGAATTTAGTAGCATAGGAAAGCTAAGGTTGTGCATTGTGTTAGCTTGCGTGCTTTCAGTGAACATCTTGGTCTTTTGTAATGTTCAGAACATTCTTGTACCATTCAGATTTGGAGAAATTTGTACCCAGATTTGTATTTTGTGTTGTCTGATACTCATTCACAAAGTTGTAACATAAAAAGTTGGTCAAGTTAACGTTGACTTTTTTTTTTTAACCACTCCAGGTTAAAAGTTTTAAAATAAACATTTCACACAAGAAAACAGGACTGTGCCATCAGCATCAAGATGGTATTTCCAGTATCATAATGAAGACATAGAACTTAAATCAATGGCAAACAGAAGTGGTCCAAAGACAGAACCCTGGTGGACACCTTTGATTATAGAGGTTACGTTGGCAGAAATTGAACTTCTGTTCTGTTCCAGTGTTATTCACTCCTGTGTTAGTATTTCCAGCTTTTCATGCAGTAAATACTTCTTACCTTTTGCTCAACTGTTTAAAGTGTTAAGTTGAATCCCCAGGTTTTAGGTCTCAGCTGTCGGACACTGTTTAGATGGAGTTTGCTTGTTCTGGTAAATACGCTCTGCTGCCCCCAAAGCTTTAGGCTTTCATTGCGAGGAAAAGAAATTAATTTTGTCTGGTTGTAAGTTGAAAGGAGAGGCCGGGTCGGGATCAGCGGTGCTTTGTAGATTTTCTCGAGGTGTTGTCTCGGCTCCCCTGGGCCCTGTGACATTTATAACAAGCTTCCAACAGGTACAACCCAGAACAGGAGGTTGCCTTCTTTATTTTCCTACTGAGTACAGGCTATAATGAGCCATCGGGGCTCTAAAACACAGCCGAGGCCCGGCTCTTTTCTGCAGCACTTGTTTGCAGCATTCACCAGTCTTTTATGTCCCCTAATAAAGCAAAAAATGATTAGTCCACTCCCAGCGATAGAATAAAGATGAGCTGACATAAACATTTTGTTTCTTTTTTTTTTTTTTTTACTTCAATGCAGTCCTTTTAGTTCAGATGAAACTTTCTTGTCTTGAACAATAACCCTTCGATTGTTGGTTGTTAGTGTGGGAACTAAAAGGTTTTCTGAGAGTGTTTGAATCATAAAGCCTCCCAGTTGAATTTGTAGTCGACTCAGGGTTCCCTCAACTCAAGTTGAAAGGGAATCCACTTAAGGAACAACCCGCGTCTGATCAAAGGCTGTCATGCTTGACACACCAGTCGCCCTTTGCGTTTGTTTGCTGTAGGTTTGTTTTTTGGTCTCTTCCAAGGCTAATGGAAACAAATCTCTGGAGTGTTTTGTCATGACTTTCTTGTCAGATGTAATAATTTAATGCTGTTGGATGCCGTAACTGTATCAAAATCCTTCAGACAGCATGTTTATTTATTTATTTATTTATTTATTTTTATTTCAGTAAACGTTGGAGCATGTTGTGTATTTCAGACTCAGAACAGGAGACGTCTTCTCGCGTCGGCACACATAAAAGGTCGGTCGTTGACTCTTGTGTTTGGCTCCCCGTAGGAGGCTGAGGGATCTTTGCCCTACCTGCTGGTGCTGTGCGGAGACCACGGCATGACCGAGACCGGCAGCCACGGGGGCTCCTCGGAGCCAGAGGTCAACACGGCCCTGGTGCTCATCAGTCCAGCCTTCAACAGAAAAGGTAGGCCTAATGGTAAAATGTGGAAGGTTTGCCCCCGGTTACGAATCAAAAACCACCCTTTTTCCTCGTACGCTCCCAGACGAGGTAACGGCAGCTGCAATGTGACGAACGACATCGTCGGTGCGAAGACTCACTAGCAGAGGTGTTCCCTGAAGCGATGAATGGGGTTAAGTGTGAACGTGGGATTGTGATAATTAGATCTTCTATTTTTGAAATTCTCTTTGCTTGTTTGATTTCTACACCATTCATGATAATTATTTGCTTGCTGATGTTTGCTAACTCTGAGTCCTGCAGAGCTTCAATGAATAGCTTGGGTGTTTTAGATGATTGTTTTGATCTATCGTGGTCGAGGGAATTGGGAAATGAACGCCAAATTAGGTTTTATTCAAGCAAATATACGTTAGCCATTTGAATATTGATGAACTCACCAATTCTGCATTGCACTGCTTGTTATTTATACTGAACTCATCACACCTCCTATGTGGTTCAGCTCTTTTTAGAGTAACGACAATAAAACGCTGCAGGGCGTCCCAGCACCCTTAAAAAGTAATAAACTAATGTACCTAAAATTAAGGCCTTAAAATGTCTCAAAAATAAGTTGCGTTTAAACATGTTAATAATAGATCTTAAATTTTGCCTTAATTTAGTGTATTCTATGTTTTTTTTTTTGTCTGTTTGTTCTTGGGGGACTTTTCTGTCAGGCTTCTGCCTGACAGAAAGTACTCAAATGTCTTCAAATGGTAACTAGCTGTTAAAAATAGCCTAGCTAGCTGGCGATCTAGCTTGTTTGAGTCAGTAAATGGATATTTATGTAGATCTTAAATTCTGTTCAAAAGTCTTAAAAAGGTTTTAAAAGTATTAAACACCAAGTTAAAAGTTTGGACGATGTCCCCAGAAAGACTGGTGAGTCTATTTGAAATTTCTCCATAGCTGTCCCAAAGGCTTTTCGGTTTCAAGATTTTATTGTCCAAGTCGATGTAGTATGCCTGGAGAACCAAATGTTTTGTGTGATGTTGAGAGAAAAACCCCCAGCTAACATAGAAACGCTGTAAAATTTCTTCAAGGTTTGATTAAAATCTACTCATCAAAAGGGAGGCTCTCTAATGAAATGTAACTTAATCTCGTAAGGTAAGGACTTTCGCTAAGTGGCACCTTAGACGTAAACACGGCGGCATGGAAATGTGTTGGTTAATGAAATCAGCGGCCGCATTAGCATAAATGGCTACTCTTTCAAATGAGGGGTCATTAGCGGAGCGCTTGTCTCCCTGTTGTTTTCATTAGCACATGCTCCCCCGTGTCAGAACTGGCTGCCTGCTGAATACCTGGGCTTCACTCTTTAATCTTGTCGCGTCTCTAAGAAAAGCGCATGTTGGCAGAACATTTAATTGACTTTGCTGGGAGGACCCTGACAGGCAAATTCACTTTATTCAGACTTCGCTAGGACTATTGTATATTTAGGTAAGTGTGTCTGAACCTGTCTCTATCTGTACTGTCCGGAAACCAAAAGGAAAAGACTATAAACACTTTGGCACCATTTTCAAATGAAAAATAAACTCTGGAAGGTAAGTCTTAAAGCTATTTCAACAGCTAGACGCTAACTAAACACCAAGAGGGGTCACTGTCTGGACTGTACACACAGTGCAGTGAGAATGGACTCCCTGCGTCAAACCATTACATGTTGAACCTTATAATTAAAGTTTTAAATGTTAACATTTCAATGTCAATTCAACTTTTTTCAACCCCCCGACCCGCCTCCTCTTGAGCAATAGGGATTGGAAATAAGTCTAAGACTCGACCAGTTTTGACCTCCAGCAGTTTACTTTACTTGCATCTCTAACAACAGTACCAGTTTCTTCGTTGTGTGTCGTCCAAAGAGCGTACTGTTCCAGAGCCGGGCTCCTTAAATCCGGGCCTCAAGGACCTGGCGTTCTCCCACTTTCAGATGTGTCTCCGCTTCAACACACCTGAGTCCAGTAATGAGGTCTCTGGAGAACTGGACTGCATACTGAGGAGGGGATCCAGCCGTTTGATTCAGGTGTGCTGGATCAGGGACACGTCTAAAGGTTGCAGGACCTGGAGGTCTGGATTTGAAGACCCCCGCTCCACAGGTTAGTGTGCGGGGTTCGATAACGGCGAAAGGCCCTCTGCTTGTTGTTAACAGCGTAGAGTTTGAGAAAAAGAAGACTCCCTTCCCTCTGCTTTAGCTGTCAGTATAATTGCAACTAACAACAAAACTTTAAGTCTGCAACTTGGTACTAAACATCTTAAAGCAGGTTTCACTTCCTGTCATCTTTTAGTTTGTGGAGGTGGGACTGTAGCTCTTTTGCTTTCAAACGGATTGTTTTCTGGCTCTTACCGCTCTGTCCAAATAAGCCTCCAGCTCCAAAACGCGTGCCCGTCTTTAATCTGCAGTGGTCTCACTTCCTGACAGATCCTCTGTTCGTTCAAAAACATTTTCTGCATAAGTTTAATTCATCGCTGCAACCTGAAAACTTCACTCAAACGCAGACAGTACGGGGCGGGGGAGAGCAGCACTCCCACTGTCTGTCTGTTGTCGGAAGCTCTCTTCAGGAAGCAGATCATCAACAACGAAACGCTTGACAGGAGACGACGGGCTTTGAAAAACAAAATCCCGGGCTCACTTGATGATGATGATGATTAAATTCACGTCTTATTTTGTTGATGCTGTTGCCGTGCTGACAGCCCCCTCATGGGTATTAATATGAGAATAATAACGGGGGTGATTTGTCGTATTGTGTTCGGTTTCTAAAACGTTATATATTTATTTTTTTGCCTCGGCTCTAACCCACGAACATGATGCAGGCTGCCTTCATGTATTAAAACGAGAAGCTTTCCACTCTCCCCGGCCCCTCACGTTGCTGTCTCACAGTTTCACCGCTGAGGGGTCAGAAGTAGCAGAGCAGCAGCGACTACAACGGCACGCTCCGTTAATTCGTCTTACTCCATCAGGCTTCCTAGTAATTGAACGCCGTGGGATGTTTCGCCTCTGCTGTTGCCGTATTTCTGACTCCAGGACCAGGACTTCCCTTTTTTTCTGTTAATTTGTCTTGATGAGGCTGGTGAAAGGCTTTTGTGTGCAGGTTTCTGCGTAAAAACGAGACAGAAAGTGGAGTTATTTAATGAGGATGTAATGTGACCGAAGTTGAAAACCGTGGCTTTTGTCTTGTGAAATAAATATGCGTGCTGGTGATCGGTTTTACGCATCTGTCGCTGCTGGGACGACGTGGCGTTAAGGGACAAAAACGCCCACAGAAGAGGCGGCGTATGGAGTTCCTACAGGACCGGGAAACATCTGGGATTAGACGGAATAACACATCAACGATCTGTTGCTGTTGTTGCATTAACCTTCCAAAACACTCCGGTCTTCTGGTTCTGGTTCTGCTCTGTCAGAACCAGAACCAATCTAATCTTCTTGCATGGAGGAAACTTCCAGAAAACTGCAAAACTGCTGGAATATTTTAAGTCAAGATCTTGACTCAAGACTCAACTCTACAAGAAAACCATTTTGTAGAGTTGCCTTTGATTCGTAATCACTGGAACATTGATCAATATATTTGATTAATATTTTCTTGATTATATCAATGATGCCATTAAACAAAATGTAATGTTTATTGCTTGCTTTGTAATTTGATGTGGTTTTATGATGTAAAGCAACCCTGTTTCTGAAATCTGCTCTACAAATAAACTTGACTCACCAGGATGCAGATTGTATGGAAAACTACAGTTGTGGCCTTTTACTGAACTTTTGACCCACGTGACAAAGTTTGGACACCTTTGACTGGTGAACGCCTTTCCCATCGCTTGCATCTATTTTTTTACACATTGATATCGGCCCGATAGGTCGGATCGATATTAACAACCAATGTTTATTTCCATATGGTGGCTGTTTTTGGACGGGACAGAAGGAGTTTGGTGATGTGGCAGTCATCATGAAGCAGGACAGGATCATGGAGTTTAATGTAGACAATATCTGTAAATATTGGTTATCGGCCATAACAGCAAAATCAGTAACTTTATCTGACGGAGTGTGCAGAAGATTGACATGACACTGTCATAAATGTAACACAACATAAGTCCTTTGTGTTATATACATGAAGGAGTCTTTATGAATGTCTATGACTGTTATCATGACGCGTCATTGTGTAAACATTCACATTAACTCAATTAATTGCATGATAAATTAAAACAAGCTCAGTAATTTCCATTTGCCTGATTTTTCTCTTCCGAAAACTGGATGGTAAAAGTGTTCAGTCTGGTTCTTTGGTCTCAACAAGACCTTCCTTTTTGAAGGACAATTTTGTTTCAGAGAATTTATGATTCACTTTATTTCACTTGGTTTCTGTAGTTTTGTTTGACTTATTCTGAATTTTTACAAATGTCTTCCAGTTCCAGTGTTAAGTGTTGATTAGTATTTAAAGTTTATTCATCTTTGAGAATGCGTCCTAGCATTGTTATTAAGCCATTACCATTATATTACTGGAAGATGGTCTCAAAATTACAATATTTTCACTTATGGCAATACCTTCTGGGATAATTGATCGTCCAGCAAAATTAGTTATTGTGACAGGCCTGTTCAATAGCAGATACTGGTATTCGCTCTTGGCATTAGTCTGAATCAACGATTGGTCCGTTTCTGTCTCCCTAGTTTTTTTTTTTATTTGTTTGTTTCTTACATTTAAAGCCAAACTTTTGAAAAAACATTGAAAAATTCTCTGAGAATTTTTTTTATTGTTATTATTACGATTACTTCTACTTTAAAAATTGTCCAAACTGACCCAGTGAAACGTTCTAAACTCTGTCTAGGAGAAAAAATCACAGTCCTGACCCCCACAGTGACCTTTTAACTGTTGTATGCTGTTAAAAGAAAGGCCTCCAGTCAATCCATCTCTGTCTGGTTTCATTTGCGCCTCCCTTTGTTTTTGTTTTTGTCTTCTCTTCCTGAAGTGGGCATGGAGAGGCCCGGAGTGGTGGAGCAGGTGGACCTGGCCCCGACGCTGGCCCTGGGCCTCGGGCTGCCCGTGCCCCAGAACAGCGTCGGCCGCATCATCCCCAACGTGCTGGAGGAGCGGTCGCTGCGGGACCAGCTGCGCTTCCTGCATCTCAACGGCCACCAGCTCAGCTGCCTGCTCCGAGACAGCACACCCGACTACCAGAAAGGTAGGCAGCGGGAAACTTTTCTTACGGAGAGCCTCGTACCCGACGGGTCATCTCCTTTGTTGTCCTGCATCGTTTTGGGACTCGTCTCGTAATGGACTCAATTTTCACACTTTGCTCACACAGCTACCTGCGAGGTCATTGGGGTGGATTTTAAAGGCACTATGATATTAATTACGCCAGAACAAAATGCAGTGCAATTCTTTCTTACCTGATGGAATCGTTTTTGAAGTGAACAGCGTTTCAGTCGGAAAAATCCCGCCAACGTGAATGAAACCAAAACATACAGTCGGCTTCCATTATTTCATCTCGGCCTCTGTCAAAATGTTGAACCTCATTTTCATATTTATTCTGCCATGAATGTAATGAGCTCTGTCACCACATAAGCATATTCATTGCATCATTACCATACTTATGGACAAAGTAATTTGTATTTTTTTATCATAAAAATGATTCCATTTAGAACTGAAAATAGGAATTTGGGGACATTTAGATATTAACTAGTCTCTCCCATGCAGGTACTTTTTTACATTTTGTGTTTTTTAGGTTTATCCCACAATGTTCTGGCTATTTCCTGCTGAGGACAGGAAGTATAGAGACAAAATTGACCTACAATTGTTGCAAATGTTTCTTTTTTTAAAAAAAAAAAAAAACAACAAATGTGCCAAAGTGTCTTTAAAAAATAAGGAAACAGCAAATTAATATCTGCGGTGTTTTGGAAGTCTTTCGTCTGGTGTTGAGCTTTAGTTTTTAAGCAGTAAAACATCTTAGGAAGCCTGATGCTTGGCAGGAGTGAGCACTAGTGTCCTAACTATCATCACAAATTTCATATGTAGATAAATTCGTGGATAAATCATCTACAGATGCACAAAGATGAGACAAATTCTCATGCGTTGGCGCTATGATATTAAAATTAGCTACATCAAAATCTACAAAAGCAATTCCAACATCCAAAGCACTTAAAGCTCATGTTTTCTATGACACTGTTGAATTTTTCTTTTCAGTCTTCACTACAGTGTTTGTTTGGGTTTCCGATCAGAAATGCCACGAGAACAATTCCCAAAGTCGGAATTCCAAGTTGGAAAGTCAAAAGGTCTCAGAGCACTTTGTTCAATATCCAACATGGCTGCCATGAAAAAGATACTAAAGGTTCATATCTAATCACACCAGTTAATAAATGTATAGATTGTATAGAAATAAAAAGTGTTTGGATTGTGTTGCTAACAGGAGTTAGTTGCACAACAGTTTTGCTAATTCCTCAAGCTTCAGAGGCGAATCGAATGCAGCATCTAATATTTAAAACTTTTAATACAACTAGTACTTTGCTTCTCTTTCTTCATCGGCCAGAAAGAAATTGAGGGCTTAAAATGGATGCTGCAGAAAGTCACAGTTTTGGGAAAGCTCGCGTTTGGACTTGACCTTGTTTGCTGCTGTGCAAAACTAAGAGCACTCCAGCACTTCAAGTCAAACTGCAAAGACGGGAAATGTCTCCAGAAGGCCTTAATGAGAAGCAAAGTCCATCAAAACGTCTTCAAAGTTTAAATGTTTGGTTAAACTGACTTTAAAAACAGGCTTTTTAAATTCAGATTGGGATTCATCAACCCTCTTGTCTCATGCTTTTGGACGCTGATATTTATTTATTTGAAACTGTGCTTCAACTTATTTATTTCGAACAGACAAAAAGTAAAACTGAGAAAGAAAAATAAATAAATTAAGCAAATTGTCATGCTCAATTGACATGAAATTTTACATTATCTGTTCAACAAGGAGCAGGTAGAAGGCACAAGATCTTATGGTTTTTTACACATTTCAATATCATCAATAGCATATTTGGTTCTGGAAACACTCGTCTCCTAGAATGTGTTTCCCAAAAAGCTCCTCTTTAAACAATTTTTTAAAGCTGTTTTAAGTATGTACTGTTTGAATCCATTCCATAAATCTGCTCCACACTGATAAACAAAAATTCTTTTTGGTTGTTCTAATAAGAGTTTTTAAAAAAACAAAGAAAATAAGGAACCAGTAGGACCAACGAAAACAAGAATAATTAGCTTACCACTGGTTTTCCGTTTGAATAGGAGTAGAATGAAGTGGGGCTGGACAATAAATCATTAATTAAGATGTTTAAAAGAAAAAAAAAAAGAATCAATAATTATCGATATCGACTGATATGAAATGTTTCTGTCGTGATATTTATTTTTTCTCAGCCATATCGTCCAAGAAGAAGTGAACACTCGATTAACCCTATTTCTTATCTCAATCTAATAAAGTATATGTATCAATCACCAACTCAGGAATGATCAGAAAGGTGTAATTAAAAACAGGTTGTGGGATTAATTTACCTGTTAAATCCACCGTGCGAAAGAACCAACACTTGTAAGCAGCCTGAGCTCAATAAGATCAGTCTGGATTTACTCAACTCCAGCAGGAGCTGGGTGTTTTAAGGAAACCTGTTTTGATCAGAGCTTTTTTGTACCTGAATAAATTTCCTTTTAAATGTAAAATCCACCTCGGGGAAGTCTCCAATCTGCTCTTTAACTTCAGTCCTTTCCCATTTCAGTAGAACACCTCGCACAAATCCCAGCCTGTATTTATTTTTATCCGTCTACTTGAGTCTCGCCAACAAACGGTTTCTGTGAGACACCCAGTCTTTGAGCTCCTTCCTTCTTGTTCCAGACGTCCTTCCCATCTTCCTGTTTAAACAGCCAGAAGTTCATCGTTCTTTAGTCTGAGAGGTGTCACAAGTGAAGGAGCTGACAGAGAGAACATGAAACCAATACCAGTTTAAAACAAGAGAAATTTTAATTAATCCCACAGAGATCCCCGGTAAGCATTAAAGCAGCGATTTTTATTATTTTTGTGAAAGTTTGTAGATGTTGTCCTCATTTTCACAAATCGCTGATTCGGAAGATGAATGGACGATTTGAAATCATGCGCACGGCTGAAGAAGAATCTACAATGATCGGCGGCGTGGCTTTAAAGAAATCACATCTGACCTGCCGGAGGTGATGCATTTGTGCCGAGCCGTTTGCTTCACTTCACAGGGTTAGACGTGTCGACGTGTCGCCTCACACCGAGCAATACTCCTGATTTCAATGTTGCCCTCGTTTAGTGTGTTTGAAGCTGCGCGGTATGTTGAATCACAGTTGTCATTGCAGTATCAGTGTCATTGCATTGTTCATGCTACGAATAAAACCCAAACACAGACTTCTGTGTGAACGGTTTACGACCCCAAAGCGACCCGCATGCGCAGAAGAAGAACGCCGACGTAAAGCAGCATCAAATTTTACGGACGTAATACATAATGGAGCCATTTGTGGATCAATTTCAAAGTTTATTCAGCAATGGGAGTGAACAGGATTGGTACGAAAATCATGACACGAATAAAAAGAAAGCCACTACCACCAATGGCAACGGCATTCTGAGGATTCTTGACTATGGTTTGTGGAGTTGGATGTGTAGTCAGAGCGCAGAGTGGTGGCATTGTGATGTGATGCCGAGTCCCTTCACATTTTCATCAGTTTTTTTCCCCGTGAATAGATTGGAATCGGACCGTTCAGACCTTCGTGAGTAAGTTGGATGTTGGTCTCAGTTGGGCAAAAAGAAACCCAATTTGGGTTGCACCTGCTGTGTGAACGCAGCCGTACTGCGTCATGGATTCATGCTCTTCATATCTTCACCAATGATTTGAGTGGTCTCTATCTGAAAGTGGGAGGACAGGAAAGTAGTTGAAGAGAGAGACGGAAGACATGCAGCAAAAGTCACCAGGCTGGGAATCCAACCTGTGACGTCTGCGTCCAGGACTGAAGCCTCCTTTTGTGGGTTGTGCTTAACCGCTGTGTCACCACAGCAACACCTGGTTTATTTTCTTGAACTCCTAACATGATTAAAGTCACTTTATGTAATGGCAGCAATGGGAAGGGTTTATAATTAATATCGCAATTAAGTATTTGTTAACCCTTTACCTGAAGGGGTGTTCTTATGACACCATCATAAACATAAACCTCTGTTATGAACATGAAGGAGTCTTTATGGATCTATATGACTGTGGTCATGAAGTGTTGTTTGCCAAATGACACTTTTAATGCAAAGTTGCTTTAAAATTTGCATTAAAAGTCGATTAAAAGTGCCAACTTTGCATTATCTGGTAAATTTATACGCTTCAATGCATAATTTACCAAATGACGCTTCATAACAATAGTCACAGACATCCATAAAGACTCCTTCATCTTCAATGTTTGTGTCAGTCGTATCAGTCTCCAAATAAAGTGTTACCAAATATTTTTGCTGAAGTTAGAGCTGCCTTATCTACACGTAACGAAATGTTCTATGTATGTTCACCCAAACATTTTGCCCTTTTACGTTACTTTGCATACCCAGTGGAATCAAGCATTCACGAGGACAGGAAGTCTGTTAAGGCTCGAAATCCGGAAAACACAAGTTGCTATTCTGTGGACTTTATTGAATTATTTCTTTTAAGTTAGCCACATGCATTTGCGAACGTGTTTCCAGTTCCTCGCTGTTTCTTTGTTGGACCACTTTGACAGTGAATTAAAACACCCCACATAAACCTGACCCTAACTTCATAATGCAAAAGCCTGTGAACAAGAAGCTTATCAGGCATAATGGAGGGGATCTGCAATGTTAACGCATCTTGAGGATCTGAGCACAGCTAGATGAGAAATGCTTGTATCATGAAGCATTAACTATTGCTGCTAATCTGTACTCAGATGTGTGTGTGTGTCTGTGTGTGTGTGTGTGTGTGTGTGTGCGTGCGTGGGTGTATTTTTCCCCCCAGTACCCAGTTCAGATGATGCATCAGGTTCACTGTGTTCATGTCTGAAGCTGATGTCTCTCAAACAGCAAAGGTCGCATTTAGAAACAAACAAAAACACAAATGGCACCTCATGTCCCTCTCTATTTTAGTCCATGGGTTTCCATAGCAATGGAGGAAAAAGAAAATGGAAATAAATTCGGTAGACCTACATTTGGATGTGTTGATTTGTCTGAGTCCGTCCACTCGGGTAATCAGGAAGTTATTATGCAGCAGGATGTTTGCCGCTGTTGCCTCTGGTGTTTTAATAACCCTCCCGTCGGACAAATCATCCTCTTCTGGTGCTCAGGGTTTGGAGTCTCAGGTTGCGGTTTGGATTTTGTTTTGTTTTTTTCTGGGGTTTCTTCTTGCAGATCTGCGAGGCATCAAGCGTTTTTTTTGGGGGGGGGAGAGGGAACGCCGACTCCTCCGGCCGGCGTTTTCCAACTGGGCCCGTTATCTCAAAATCTTGAGTTGTTTTTCTTGCTTTTCACAAGAAATAACTTCCAGGATATGAAAGTAGGCCTTTTTTAAAAAAAATAAATAAATAAAATGATGATGCAATGCTGAAACAACCCAGTTGCACCTTTAATTCTCTCTCTGCCCCTTTCCTGGGTCCTGTCTCGCCTATTTCAATCTTTATGTTGCGTTTTTGTTTTTTCTCCTGTGCTTCTAACCTCGGGCGTTTGGAGGAGCCATCAACCAATCCTTGTTCTCTCAGACGGATGACGCATGGCCGGGGCCATCCATATTGTGTAATTCATGCCTGCAGCCTAAGGTTCTAATATTTCTTCCAACCCTCTCTGTCTGACAGAACCTCGGTCCCTATTTATCACCTCTATGCTTATGCTGCTGAGATAGGTGTTATATTGCAAATAATTGTTTATAGGAGAGGCTGCATGATTTTCACGGAGATGAAACAAATTGCTCTGGCCTTCGAGTGGCTCCGAAGCCGTCGGAGTAAAATGTAAGGTGGCATCACTTGATGTGCAGAATGAGTCAGAGCCGGTCTCGGTAAGCGACCAGACAAATCGCTCATGAGGTTAAATGGTCTCAACAGGGGCGAACACGCTTTTTTTTTTTTAAGTTGACACAGATAAAAAAAGAAGAAAATACTGAAATTAATTGATTTTTTTTTTCCTATTCAAAAGAACATCATATGTCAGTACGTCAAAAGTGACGGATGAAGTCGTAAATAAGATTTCAGGGATCTGATTTCTACAGAAAGTTTTCTTTGTGATTAAAGACAAGAACGTGTCGGCTGTTTGCGGAGGCTTTTGTCGTGACAAAACGTCTTTCCGCGTGATGACGCATCCCACCGCAAAGCTGAAACAGGTCCACAAATTATTGTAGCAGCACAGCAACAATTCTGAGGCGTTGGCTTGGTCTACCAGATTCCACAGATCTCAGTCCAGTTGAACATTAACATTGAACAACCGATCAATCAATCAATCGGCCCCCCTCCTTGAAAGTTAAACCTGAAGTGTCTGCTGGTCGCGTCTCGTCAGCAGATACTTCTTCACAACCTCTGCAGAGTCGTCTACTGTTGAAGGAGTATCTGACCACTTGCAGTGGATGATCAGTAGTAGATAGCGTATTGCATGGTGCACGAGCGTCCACTTCAGCATTTATAACAGAAATCCACAAGAAAATGGCTTTCAGATGTCTGTCCACTGCAGTGACCGCGATGCATGAAAGGGTTAAAACAGAAAGAGCCGTTCAGGTACTTTAGGCAACTGAAGTGGAAAACAAGATTGTAAGTTTTTGGTCTTTGTTAGGCACATGACAATTCCTGTCAAATGTGAATTGTTTTTTTAATTATCGTTTTAGTTTGCAGTTTTTCCACCATTAATGACTTCGGTTCCTGAGCTATATGAGTGCATTTAGATCCCACTGATGAAACAAATGCCTCATGCAGGAGAACAGGATTCATAAATTTATCGTATCTAGTAGAATGTGAAGAAAAATGAATATGATGCATAGAAAGGCGTTTTGTTAGATTAATGCTACGGAAGGAGAAAATCGAAAAGAGGGAATGACTAATGTAACACAGCTGGAAGTATGTAGTTACCGGACTAGGCTGCATTTTAAGCAAACTTTTCTTTAAATAAGTGAACTATGTACATACATGATTTTAATTGTTTACCTTTTCTGTATATATGAATATTTTTTTATTTTCTTCTTTACCTTTTTTACATAAGAAAAACCTGTTTTTCTAGATAAACAAAAAAAAGCACAATGGTAGATCACATTGCCTTGAAAACAAATGAAAAACTTTTTATTCTTCTTCTTTTCCCGCCTGTCCAATCCAGAGGCCGGCTTCGAACAGTTCCGTGTGGCAGAAAAGGCTCATGGGAGCTGGATGAAGCTCTACCTGGAAGGAAACACCTCTGAGGTTCTGACCAACATGGGCAAAAAAGTCCTGAAGCAGTACCTGGAGGCGCTGGCTGCCATGAGTTCTGCTCTGAGCAAACAGCTGGGCAAATACGACATGTACTCCATGATCGCAGGAATGGTGTTTGTGTTCCAGGTGAGGCCCTCAGAGTGTCTGCTGGGGGAGCCTGGCCCCCCGCGTGGCAGCGCTGGTTTGGCTCATTAACCCTCAGCACAATGCAGGAAGTAAAAATCGAAAAGAGAAACTGAGAAGATTACAAACTTTTGATGACTTTAATGCCAGTAAAATGAATTGGCATTAAAAGAAGAGCTGTGGGGGGAAAAATGTACAGTTAGTTTGTTATTCAATGCCGCAAGCAAAATTGAAATGTTTACTGATTTACGCCACGCACATTACATTTTTTTTTTACATATGAAATTATTATTTTTTTGCTGTTAACAAATTGCTCGGATCATCTAAACCTGTAATTACATTCACAGTCATTGTTGCAAATTAGGATTCAGAAACTGATTTTAGCTAAATGGGATTTCTCTTAAGAACTACAAAACGAGAAGAGCCAGCAGTCAGTGATCATTTCCATGAGTAGCAGAGGGTGATGTCTAAGCACAATGTGAGACGGATAAGCTGCTGTAATTTAGAGCTTTAAAACGTCTGAAAATGTCTTAAATTTGACTGACTTCAACACCCTGAGATGAGGGAATTCGTATGATTCAGTTGTGCTGCAAAAGGCATCCATATAAAAATTGCAGGATAGTAGCTGACGACCCTTGACCCAGAGACATCTACAGACTGCATATAAGTACAAACATCACAACAGACAGATGAGGTTCCTACTTTTTAACCTGACACATATATTGATCCAAGTTGGTCAAACTTTTTCCTCATCTCCCCTCTTCCTCCCCTGGCCTTTCAGCTCCTGCTGGTCTTACTGCTGGCGATGCCCGAAGCCCTCAGCAGCGGCGCGGCAGTGGACCTTCCGGTGCTCTCCTCCCTGCTCTCCCTGCCTTTCTGCCTCCTGTGCCTGCTCCTCGCCTCCGTGCACGTGTTGGTGTGCACGTCTGCGGAGAGCGCCTGTTACTTCTGCAGCCTGTCCTGGGGCCTCGTGTTTGCCGCCATCGCCTTCTCCTCGGCGATGTTTTGCATTCTGATCGCCGTGGCGACACGGAGGCTTCCGTTCGGACCCGCGCTTCCTGGGAAGGTGAGTGAGACGTCACGGCGAAACTGGCGTCCAACGTTTGTGCTGCAAAAGTGTTTGTGCCGCTGTCATTTTAGAGATATTGATAAATGCGTCCAGAGGTCATAAAAGGTCAACCAACCAGTTCCCGTTTGCAAAGTCAAACGAAATACGGTGTCAGTCAACTGTGCAACTTTTGCGTTGGTTTGTGCTGCAGAAAGTTTTGTTTTTTTTAATGCCGCCATCATTTTAATGATATTATTAATACGTTTCCAGGTGTCACCAGAAATTTCCAGCCACATTAACAAGGTCAAACAAAATTGACATGAATTCGTTTCAATACGTTTGTCAACTTACATTTTGCCAATTAGCTCATCATAGGTTCATGGAATCGTGATGTCATCGTCAGAGTCCTCACTAATTGTTGGAAGTCACGCTAATCTTTGTGTCTGTAAAGTTCTGCCTGGATCTGATTCAAAAGTCTCAATAAAACAATCTCATTATTCTGACATTCAGTGATTAGAGTTTTTTGACAACCCCAAGATGACAGGAAATATTTAGGCTCATTACGAGTGGAGTAATGTTACCTTTGTAAAATTAGCTCGAATAATAATGAAGGCTAAATCCACTCACTTAGGTTCTTTTGGTCTTTATATTATTTGTCAACTTGTTTGTAAGCACTTTGTTTGCCGAAGGTTTATTTCTGCACATCGATCCAGTTTTAAGTTTTCTTGTTTTTATTCCTAGAAATTAGAAAAAAAAATCTCTGAATCGTATTTAATGAGTTTTCAGAAGAACATAAATGTTTCAACCTCTGACTGACTTGCCCACCTGGCTTGGTATTTAATCAATGATTCCACTTAATTACCCCCTAACTACTCTACAGTATTGCACAGGAATACAATAAGGTAATAAGAAGTAATTTACACCGGAGACGGCTCATTCATTTCAACAGTGCTTCATGAAACTTTCATACATTCAGTAGTAGATGAGAACAGGAAGGAAAAGCTCTGCAAACACTGCTGCTTCTGTTATGTTTTTTTTTTTTTGTAATAATGATAAAAAGAAAAAAATGAAAAATGAAAAGTGCACAGATGTTTTCTGTAGCTGATGACTTATATATAATTTCCACAATCACTCATCTTCCTGTCCCAATACTAGGATGGATACACACTTAGAGTTGGATGTTAACTTTGTCTTGTGTCAGATGTTTCTAAAAAAAATTTTTAAATGTTTTTGTGCAAAACGAGCCATACACGTGGTACTTTACGATGTCTGGACCGACTACCCGCTGTTACTTTTATTTATTTATTTTTAGAAAACATTTAACCTTGCCACAATGTTAATTGTTCATATTGTGAATGAAATAGAAAACCCAATTTGAAAAATATTGTTTTCATATTGTATTATTAGTACTTTAAAGGTACTAATAACATATAGCAAAATCAAGTAACTATGTTACCTTCAGTAGTTATAAAAGTCCTAAAAATGACTTTTAAAAAATTAGACTTTGTAGTTCAACTCTTTGAAATTGGGCCTTTGTCTCTTTAAGAAGCTCCTGCTCTTTCTGAAACTCCACCTTCAGGAAGACATCACAACATGGCTCCTCTAGTAACCCTTTAACAACGTTTTTACAAGCGTTGCACTGAGAAGTAGCTCCTATAATGAGCTCATGCGCAGTTCCACCAGGTGTTTGCTAATTGCTGCTGGCTAGTCTGAAGGAGCTGAGTGGGGGAGCTGTGCCTCGAAGGCGGGGCCAAGACCACCCAGACTTTTTCCACAGCTGAATGGTTGCCATGGAGATTAAACGATTTGTCAAACATGCACCACAATGAGTCAAACCACACTCCAGGTGTGTTTTCATCAGGGAATAATGCTATAAAACGTCAATTTTATGCTGTACCAACTCTGCTTTAAACGAAGGTTTTATGGTACAACCACAGAGGCGAGTAACTGTCTATTGATGACAGTTCATCGTCATAGCAACATGAAGTGCTGCCTCGCGTAATGAACGACCGCTGGCTCTTTTCTCTCAGCTCTCCGAGGCTCTGCGACCGGACTGGGCCGCTCGGAGGCGTAACAGGCCGCCGTTGTGAAAGAAACCCTTCAGGTCCACCTTGAAGGTGAAAGGAGCCTCTGAATAGCAACAAGAAGGATCCTACTGGGCAGACTTCACTTAAAACCCAACTCTTACATGTAGAAGCATAACATTAGCCTCAGTGCTGATGGAGGCAGACATGTTCTGCAGTACAGAATGTATCAAATTGATGAATTTAGCGGTCTCTAAATGCGCGTAGCTTTGGAAAGCACACCTAACCATTATTGATCTGACCGCCTTGTCGTCTGTGAAAGCTGTTATTTGTGTTCATTTAGTCTTCAGTCCTGTCACAGGTACATTTACGTATCTAAATGCATTTATACCTGGAACTGCAAGCACTGCTCTTCAAAGGGCCGTCATTAGCGTTCATATATCGGCCTTCTGTTAGCACTGGGATCAATAGCAGGTTTTCATGGATTACTTTAAAAGCAATGTATGGATTTTTATTTCTGCTGCAAGCTCCTGACAGCAGACACAAAAGAAGCCTTGTGTAATGAGCAACTTGTTCTAAAAATGGGGTTTATAAGAGCACATCTTCATATGCCAGACTATCATACACCTGTGTATCTCCTTTTTTTTTTATCATCAAGACTAGATAAGAAAGTTAGATATTTCAAGTGACCAAAAACATCAAGCATTTTATGTGACAGTGTGGTAAGGTCCAAAAGCCTTTTTTGCCATGTGGGTCCAAGTCACCATTAAAATGATAATAATGTAAAAATTATTTTCTGGCGTGATTCTTACTCGTTTTCCCTGTCAAGATCCGATTTTAAAGCCTGAATAAGTCACCTTCCAGTTTGCCTTTCAAAGTTTGAACCGAGACAGTTTTAAAAATGTAGTTTTGCAAATGTGAAAAAGAATTGGGCGGAAAACATGCGCTTTAATTATCAGGGCATCCTTAAGAAGTGTTAATCTCATTTATCTAAAATTGAGGCCTTAAAATGTCTTAATATCATTGAAGATGTAAGTTGGCTTTAAATATGTCAATCACTGGCAGGCAAAAAGTTTGATTCGCACGCAAACATCTTTCACGTTCTGTAAAAGATGCCCGAGCTAGTGAGCTTTTTGTGCTTCTATCTTTGCTTTGTGTAAATTTACCACAAGTTGGCTGGACAACGTTCATCTTCACCACTGACAATCTATACGATGCTGACTGGGTTAACCCTAACCCTACTTAGAAAAAATAACAATTTGTGAAATTCTCATCATAGTGGTCTTAAACTGGTTTTGAAAGCCTTAAATGTGAGTTGGTGAAACCTGCAGAAATCCTGGTTTTGCTTTTGTTTTGTCATCTAAGTTCAAACCAGAGCCTGAGAGTTTGGCTCCATGAATTTCGCTCACTTTCTGCTCCAACAGAATATAATTATAATTTGAACCCAATGACCCTGTAATGAGTTTGCTATTTCCCTTAAAGAAATATGAGAAGCAGAAACACTGTCTAACTCTAAAGTAGCGACGTTATTAGAAAAGGAACAGACGATTTAATTGAATTTCATAACTTTTTTTTTCTTCTTCTTTTTTAACGTTCAGTGGAGTCTGACAGCAGTAGAAAAATTTAACAAGATTTCTTTCTTGGCCTGGGTGAAACAGCTATGTTTTCCAATGAGAAGTCATAACACAGATGGCTGGGTCAGAAAACTCTTTTCTTTTTCTTTTTTTTTTCAAGTGACATGATGGAAAGGCGGGTTCGGAGCCGTGCCGCTGGAATAAATCACAGACACACACCAGACCCAAGACTGACTTTCTGAAATAGCACAAACGACCTGTTATAAATTATGCTAAAGATATGATTGGAAGTAAACGTTTCACCAAAATTTGATTCGAAGTACAACGTTTTGAGGCCTTTTCTTTTTCCTTCCATGGCGCAGAGAGCACTGTTGACAGGGCAGGAGCGCCGTACCCTTTTCTCAGCACATTAGGCCTCCGCTCATTTTGATTGATTAATGCACTACTGTACACGCTGGCCCCCCAGGCCCCCTGGAGAATATTTCTCCCATTTAGACTTTTCAAGTCAGCGGAAGAGCCTCGGGTTCAAGGGTAGACGAGGAGATCAATACTAAGGGACTCACGTCTGTTTGATTAATACATGAAGCGATCCAGCCACATGCTGGCTAGCTTACTTAGAAAAAATAATAGTGCCAGCAGGAGAGAAAACGGAGAATTTGAAGCATTTATCAGGTAATATTAGTTTGAAATAGAGTCAGTGTTTTACATGTGGGCTACTTTAAAGCGACAAGGGCTCAAAGTGGGGCTCAGGGGCCATTTGCAGCCCTCGGAATGAGGTTTTTTTTGACCACATGACCATAATCCAAGAATAAATTAGGACAAATCTACTTACAAAACTGTTAGCTGTGACACAGAGAGATCATATTTTCCAATCTTTCTGGTTTTCAAGGTAACTATAAGCACCTCCACACGTCGTCTCGTACTCTAACGATCACCTTGGCGCGCCAAAATCAGCTTTTAATTGCCGTATGAAAACTTGTCTGAATACAATAACTATTTTCAAATGAAGAGTGACCTGGAACCTGCTTTTATTGCTGAGACCCGGATAAAACATGTTTTCAATTTTCTTTAAAATGATGAGCAAACTCTATGCCTTTCACTTAACAAGGGAAGACATGCGAAAACCATTACAAGTATTGGATATACGTTTCTAGCTTTTTTTGTACAAAAAAAATCTGATTACTGTTTTTGTTTTATTAAAAATAGTTTATGCTTAGTGTAGTTGGTAAAGAAAAAATAGCAACATTTTTGTTGACTTTAAATACACCTCTTCTTTAAAGACTTTATGTTCTTCTGCTTCTACCAACATCACCAAATATTAGTTTCCTTCATCAAAATCATGACGTGGACATAAAGTGATCCTGACCCATAGAGGAAGTTGCTATAGTTTTAAAACTGCTCTTAAAGACTTTGCTAGGAT